AAAAAAAAAAAACGTTACTTTGGGTGTATTTTATTTTAAAGTGAAAAAGAATTGAAAGATTGAAATTTTAATTAAAAACCATTAAGTTATATTAATTAAAAATTCATTAATTTATCTTTTAATTTGCATGATTTATGTAAATTTTAATTTTGAGGACAAATTTCAAACATTTAATCACAATTTACAATTTAATAAAGTTAGCAGATGAGTGTTTTGAGAATTCATCCTAAACTTATTGTATATGGCTTGTTGTTCCCATTAATTTCTGTCGACTCTTCAAATCGGCATAAATCTTCCAACAATCTTTTGAGATATCAATTTACAATGACAACACGAGTTAAAATACAGCTTGGATTAAGTAACGAGAGTAATGTTATTCTGCACCACGGTGTTAAATATCAGTTAATGTGGTAATTGCATAATAATAAATGATAAATTCACTTTAATACAATGTCACATTGTTCATTAAATTGATACCATCAATTGTGATAACCTGAATTAGTGATATACTATCATTGGTGTTAAATAATATTATTCATGTAACAAAGGTTTCGTAACTCTTATTTTGTATTTCACATTCATGAGCCTTTTAACTAACATGACTTTATTTTTAATTATATATTCACATAGAGCTTCCATCTTTTACCATATAGTATTAACATTTTTCAAAAAAATAAAAATAAAAAATGCCATATTTCTTATTATTTAATTCAACGCACCAAATATGTCATGGGATAATATCTAAACCTGACTATGCATTCCGTGGCTGGTGTTTCTTTGTATTTTTGGCTTAATATCAATTTTTAGTGTTGATATCTAGAAGTTGGTTAATTTTGTTAGTTCCCTCCAAGAACTTATCCTTCTTTTTTTCCTCATAGGGTGTGTTATATCTAGGTAAGGTTTGAATGTCCATTCTAATTTTCCATTCCTTATTAATAATAGATTAAAAACAAAAAGTAAAAAATTGTAAATCAAATTTAAAATTTGAGCTAAAATCTCATGCTTTTGTATTGAATGAATCTTGCATCAATAATTGGAGGTGTAGCTATTAAATTTGGACCAATAGATACTCGATGAAGCGGGCCTTGGTTCGATTCGGTCAACATGATTGGAGCAATGTACAATTGACCAGTTATTAGTTCACTTGACACTAGTTAAATTTCACTCAAACTCGAAGAACCAAATGGTATAAATCGATTGATTTTTTCTAACCTAATACCTCAATTCCAATGGAATACGCCATTATTTGATGACTGTTGTCTCCAAATATATACCTCACACTTACTTTTAAATTATATTTTTCAAGATCACTTTTAAGTACTTATTCATGTTTAAAAGAATATGACAAACAAAAATTTAATGTTAAATAGAAATGAAATATAAAGTAATATGAAAAACCTATTGATCTTATATACATTTTTTAAAAAGAGAAAATTTTTGTGAATTTATAAATTTCAATTAGTAAATGAATTTTTAATTTAGAATCTACTTTAACTTTTAAATTTGTAGTTATATCTATGCCATTTTCTTTAAATAAATAAAGAAGAAGAAGAAGAAGAAGAAGAAGAAGTTTTGTTTCACTTTTTAACTCTGCAATGACTAGTCAACTGAATCAGTGATCTGTTAACCCTATGCTTTGACTGGGCCAACAATCGAGCCACATCTTATGACTATGATTGGAGGTAAAGCTTAAATTCAAATAAATTTGGGTCTTTTGCTCATATAGGCTTTGTTCTATACTAAAATGATTGTTAGAGTCCTCGCATTTCAAAGATTATTTTAATACTATAACGCAAAATTGAAAAACGAAAAAGATAGTATGATATCTCTACTCTAATGTCTAGTATCTTCCTTGTCACCCATTTAGCCCAACCCAACCCAATCCAACTCGACTCCCTCATCGCACTCCATCCCCTTCGACCGTATGGACTTCTCTCTTACTCATTTCTCTTCCTTCTGCCCTCTTTCACACTCTTTCCCGATTTCTTTCGCAAGGTGCAAAATAATTTACAAAAACTTGAAAGATATGACCCTGTTTGGTGAGGATTAAAATCTAGATTTTAATTTAAGTAAAAGTCACTAATTAATTTTAATCATATTTTTTTATGGAATCGACAATTTTTTAACCACATATTTCACAACTTTTATCAAAATCTCTAAATTTTAGTTATACCAAACAGTGGTATAACAATATTTCAAAAATATGGTAATATATCTTTTAACAGCTTTTGATATATTTTAAGATGTCAAAATTTTCTGCCTCAATAATGCCTCTTCTTGAATGGTAAATAATGGCACGGACAGGAATATAGTCTCCATGCTGCATTTCTCAAACTCAATTCGAATCTTTTAATTTTGGGATATTTTCATAGATGTCAGAGCATATTGAAAAGCACAAGAAAGTTTTAGTTCGTTCTAACAAAAGGTATAGAACAATAGTAGCATTGAAATTTATGGACCCTAGGTGTATGAATATAAAACAATGTCTTATGATGTCCCTTGTACTTGAATTGAATCATAAAGGCACTTTAAGAAAGAACTCAGTTATACCAAGAAAATTGCTTTGCCATTCAAACGGTATCCTTAATATTTGATTAAAGTATTAATCAGCAACACCAAATTTTCGTGCTTTTCATAGCATTACCATTGGCAACATGCCATATGAAAACACTGTCACTGCAATGTGAAACAAGAAAATAAGTGAACGATTTCACACTTCACATCATCCATGATATAACCGACCATTTTTTGGATGATTGCAAAACAAAATAACAGACTACATGAATTAGTAATTCAATTCTTTTGTACCAACCAAATTATCAACAAGCAAAAAATGGTCGCGCTCAAAAGAAACAATTGGTATGTTTCACCAACGAAATTGCAACTTGACCATTCACATTTATCCCCATTTGTAACTAATATGATAGTTAAGCTTCTTCTTTTTCTTTTTTTCTTTCTTTTTTTGTTTTAACTCAATTGTGCACTCTTCCTTATCACCAAACTACAGATAACTCAAATTGACCTCTTTTCTAGTTCATATATACAGTTCATCACTCCAAATCTTAAAATCGCAAAAAACCAAACATAGTTAGATATTGCGCGATGTATAAGAAAATTAGTAACAAATCGCATACGCAGGTTTTAAATCAAAATCCCATACCAAAAACAACAAAGCTCAAAATTTCAAAAGATGGAAAGATTGCAACTTTGCAAGGTATACCCATACCTGCAGAGAGAGTTTAAGCGGCCTGAATTTGCGCTTTGTGGGTTTTCTTGAAAAGTAACATAGAGCTGTCCCATTACTATGAAAAACTGAAAATTCACCAGAAATTGGATGAAACCTGTTTCTCGGTTTTAGATTTGGGATAAAAATAGTGGTGCTGTAAGAATGTTGCGAAGGAGGTGAAAAGGTACACTGGATTAGCATTCTCTTTCTCTACCTGTAATTTGTTAGCTGTGTGTGTTTGTGTGTATAAAGATTGAATTTTGGAAGCAAAGAAAATCTTGGATC